CAAAAAAAAAAAAAAAAAAAAAGTCTTCTAGAATCCTGTGATCTCAATATGCCATTAATTGCGTAATTTGAGGCAAATATGTATGTCTAAAGACTCATGATTAAAGATGTCGATTTTTCATAAGGCAGGAAAGCAGTTTTTCCATAAGGAACTAAGACAATCCTTTTTCGTCAGCAAAAAGAAAGATACTTTGAATAAAAACTATGATTTATACAGAACATCCATTGGTCTTTATTTGACAAAATCTTCATTATTAAAAGACAGGTAATAAAATCTGAGCTTACATCGAATCTGCAAATTAAGTTCTATAGTATCTAGAATATTACATAAGAAATTTCAGCAGAGGGGGAGAGAGGATAAAAGCATCACATGCAGATGCTCCTGGCAAAGGGGGAACTATATCTGCAGGTGAGGTCCATCGTGTGCAGTGCATAAAAAAATCCTAGAGAAAATGCAATCGACTTACTTGGGTGAAGTGTTTTTCCTTTTGGGGAGAGGGAGCGGTAGCATCGAGGTGCAGGAATTCAAAGGTATGCGCAGAATGGCTTCTCCATTTCAAAATGATAATAAAAATATTTAGATCATGGCATTAGGGCACCTTTGAGGAAAAGAACACCTTAACCAGAGTAGGCTCATTGCATAATTCTTTAGTAATATGTACAATTTTCAAGTAATGGAGCAGACTTAGAGTAATTTTACTTCAAAAGTGGCTATCTATTTTTCTTCTCGCCCTCTGGGGCTTGATCTGTTTCAGCATCGCAGGGACACTTTTCTACACAGTTTCTAGGGAACCATCCTCTTATTCTTGAAACATCTGAGGGAGAAAATGAAACTGATATGAAAAAGTCAGATATACTGCAATGACATTTGTGAGACCCATTAGTTCTATTACTTCCAATTAATAAGCTTTTAGTTAGACTTTACCACCCCCCACCATCTTTTATAAGCACAATATGTGGTTAAAGTTAAATAAATAAATAACATTAAAAAAAAAATGTTCCTAACAAGCTAGGAAACAGATATTTCCCAAATTGCATCATCTGGGGAAGGAGCTGATGCGGCTCAGGAGAGCCCCAGTAGAGTGGGGGCAACTTGGTGTTCACATACATGTGTGTGACCATGAAGGAGGATGGCTCCGTCATACTTCATCTGTTCCGGGGGACTATCTCCCTGTAGCCTTTGTGAGTTTTCCTTTTAGACTTTCTCTAACTTGTGCACTTCTATATCAAGCTTGCCTAAGCTGTCACATGGGTTAATTTATGATTAACCCAGTGTTTTCAAAAGAGCATCCTGGGTTAATCTTTACTTTAAAAAGGAACAATTCTTAAAAGTAAATAAAAAAATCAAAGACACAGTTTCAATTCATTAGTTTTCATCATAACTTAATAGGACGATTCATTCAATGGGGGTGCGTATAGCATGGCAGCTTAGTCATAGGCTCTGGAGCCAGACTGCGTGGGCTGGAGTCTTGGCTCCATCTGCATTTAGCGTGGCCTTGGGCACCTTGCTTAGCCTCTCCACGTTTCAGTTCCCTCACCAATACCTCGGAGGGCTGTTGGGGACCTGAATACCACAAGGGAAGCATTTCCACAGGTGCCTGTCACATAGTTAAGTATGAGGTGTGATGTTTGCTAATCACTGCAAAGACCCGATAAATACAAGTGTATGGAGAAATAATACAAAGAGCTTCTTTTTGTTGCTTAATGATGTGCCTTCCTATTTAGTTCCCCTAATGCACGTGATGTGACTGTTTATAAAAGTTATTCTTGTAAAATTTGCAGTTACTGCTGGCAGTCTTGTCCTTTCAACACCCCCTTCCACTTTCATACCTTCTTTAATGGAATCATCAAGAACTTTATCTCCATACAACCAGTATCTGAAATATTTAAAAGATTAAAATTAAACCTTTTTTGCCTAGATGCCAATTTCGTCATCCAAGAAGAAATTCACTACTTTCTGTCACTTACCGTAAGCCTCTTGTGGCTAAAATGAACTCCCCTTTCTGTAGGCGTATCCGAGGCTCTTCAGTGCAGGGGCTCGTGAAGAAGGTTTTGATTCCTCTATTCAAAGGACAGCAGGTTCCACTATAATCTTCTATTACTTTATACTGAACCTGTCATCAGTGAGCAGAAGAACAAATTAACATTAACCCATACCTGAGGTCTTTTAAGTTTGAATGTAAACTGTTAAAGGTAGATCCAAAATATCAGGCAAGTCTTTCCCTCCTGGTTCCCTATCTACCCTTTATAGAAGGTAATTAATTGATGCTTCTAATTCTCAGGCTTTTTCTTACCCTTCATTTCAAGCACATGGCTAAGAATGAAATTTTAGAAGCAGTGCTGTCCAGTAGAACTTTCTGCAGTGATAGAAATGTTTTATACTTGTGGTATCCAGTGTGATAGCCACTAGACACATGTAGCTACTGAACACTTTCAATGTGGCTGGTGCAACCAAGGGACTTAAATTTTAATTTTATTTAAATTAATTTAAATTTAAATAGCCACATGTAGCTAGTGGCCATTGACTTATTCAGCATCACTGTAAGGACAAGTTTCACACTAGGGAACTATATTGAGGATAATTATCTTTTGACAATATAAATTGACTAAATTCCCTCCAAACCTCCAGTCCAAACTATTTAAATGAAAACAAAAGTAATATGCATTAAATTTCAACAAATGTATTAAGAAATATCATTTAATAAAAGCTAACAGTTGGTTTTTACTCAAAGGCAATTTTAAAAGCTACACAGAAGTACAGAGCCTGACAAAAGAAAAAGAAATTAGTATCATTGCAAAAGAATTACTTACACTTCTGACTCTTTTATCTGCTTTTTGTTTCAACTGTTCTATCTGTTTGGAAGATATAAAAAAAAAAAAATGAAGTCTCTTATCTCAATGTTTAAAAACAGGCTTTCCTCATTTACTATAGCACAGTGACATGACAAACTCCCAATTTTCCAACCTTTCAAACTGCTGACAATTTAAAGGCCGCCTTTTTTTCCCCTTCTTTCTTTCTTTTTTTTAGCATGGAAAGAAGGCCCTATGACTAAAAACTGGTACTGAAGTGGGGCCTCCTCAGTGTTCCCTCTCCAATGTCTTTATTCACAGAGCACTCCCTGTGGCCCAGGAATCAGGGAGATGTGCTCTCTGCCCTCAGGGGGCTTCCGGGCTCGTCCCTGAGGTGAAGAGGATACAGAGACTCACTGATTCTTTAGAGAGGGCAAACAGATTGCAAAATTCACCAACAATGAGTCTTGATTAAAATTCACCATTTCAACTCCTTTTCTCCACTTATTCAGCAAGTCTATTAAATGTTACTACACTAGATATAGTAAGGGAAATAACCTCTGCCTAGGATCTTGCCAAGTTAAAGACATAAGATACAAGAATTAAATAAAAATGAGACTTCATGTGCTAATATGCATCAGTATATGATTAAGTGCCAAATCCAGCTGAGTCTAGAGTGGGGAGGTAAGTCTTTATGGAAGAGAGGGCACTGGAACTGGTCTGAATAATTTCTGATAAACAGGAGCTCATATGACATAGAAAAAACAGTGTCGGGGAGGAGTTAGGTGTCAGGAATGTACCAGGAATTCACTGAGTAGACTAGGCTGATTGGAAAGGATGATTCCTGCTAGGATGTAGGTGAAAGGTAGCTTTTGGCCAGATTTTACAAAACTAAGTTAAGGAATCAGGACTTTATCTCACAGGTATGGAGAGATAAGGAAAGATTTAAATAGAAGGAGGGACATGATACAAGGAGTGCTTCAGAATTAATGTAGATTCATTTGACATACTGAAAAAATTCTTATTACTTATTTTACTATAAAACGCCCTTGGAGTTAAGGAGAAGTTAAGGGGAAGAAGGTGAGGCAAAAAGGCAAGACTGTCTGAACAAAAGTACTCACTGTTAAGCTGTACTGGTGACACCCTTCTCTTATTGGCCAATCCAGTCCATCGCCTTTGGGGACCCCTGACCACGTAAAAATGTTTAAAGTGGGGAGGAGTTAGGTGTCAGGAATGTACCAGGAATTCACTGAGTAGACTAGGCTGATTGGAAAGGATGATTCCTGCTAGGATGTAGGTGAAAGGTAGCTTTTGGCCAGATTTTACAAAACTAAGTTAAGGAATCAGGACTTTATCTCACAGGTATGGAGAGATAAGGAAAGATTTAAATAGAAGGAGGGACATGATACAAGGAGTGCTTCAGAATTAATGTAGATTCATTTGACATACTGAAAAAATTCTTATTACTTATTTTACTATAAAACGCCCTTGGAGTTAAGGAGAAGTTAAGGGGAAGAAGGTGAGGCAAAAAGGCAAGACTGTCTGAACAAAAGTACTCACTGTTAAGCTGTACTGGTGACAGCCTTCTCTTATTGGCCAATCCAGTCCATCGCCTTTGGGGACCCCTGACCACGTAAAAACCTGTTTAAAGTTCTTCCATCTACTTCCCATATCATAAGGAAAAACAAAGACTTCATCTAGTTGATAATATTGAATTCGATCTTTAGCCTGTGGGTAACAAAGATGTAAGATGGCAGATACATCTGTCTTAGATGGCTTTTAGTAATATACTATTGAGAACATTTATTCCTCAAATTTGTATCATTCCTAAAAATGCTTCCTCCTTGTTGTAACGTTAGAGTACGCAGGAGAAATAAACACACTTATCACAATATAGGAAGAACTTGACACACAATACCAACCTTGTATGAGACCATCCAGAAAATGTCTGACAGGAGTTACTCAGGAATACGCCTAAATAAGACCAAATTTAAGCATTCAAAAACGTTTATTAAAGGAGTTAGTAACTTTATTCCATATAGAAAAAGTCCTCAATGTTCTTGCTTGTTCAGCAGAACAAAGGAATCCAGGTGTAAAGAAGACATACTGATAAGGACGTTTAAGAGAAAACAAGGGTTTATTCAGGATGGAAAGAACTGTTAGGTGGGGTGCACTAGAATGCAATGGCTGCATCCTGGGTGGCAGCAACACCTGTGTGAGTGGCCAGGAAGGTGTGACGGGGGAGTCATCATTCTATGAAAATTATTTTTTTTAAAAGCTAGCAGGTATGTCTAAGAGATCTTTCAGTTTTATATACCATTACATATGTCTATACACTTATTTATGTAGGCATTTATATGTACATCTTATGCATATATATATAAATATTCAGGTTTCATAAATTATATTCTAGGCATTTAAATTGTTAGCTTTTACTTAAAGGGACAAACTGGCTTAGAATTTCTGATAGAAATTTCTTAGAATTTCTGAATTTCCACTGACACCTAGTGGTATAAAGATACACCATTTATTCCTACAATAAGTGTACAAATCCAGTTGATACTTCCAGTGTAATAAAATCTGTAATTTTGATACATTTTAACTTAATATCAATACAATCACTTATTTGATTTTTACTGAGCAACGGAGTGCCAGTTTTAAAATAACTTCTAGATTTAGCATGGCACTTTATAAAGAGCTTTGGTCATTAGCAAAAAAACACTGTTAATCTAATGTCAACATATTATGCTAACTAGAGATGATACCTTGAAATATTATCAGGGGATAGTATTTTAGGGAAAAGCTTTTGCAGTTACTTATAAAGTGATGTTGATGTTAATGAAAAGAATTGTCAAGCTGTAACATGACAACATGTAAGTCCGTCCCCACCCAGACAGTAAAGGGTAATTTCTTTTCCCTTTTTATAAGCAAAAGCTTCAGAGTCTTCAAAATGAATTAAGAGCCTCAGAGAACAGAGATCTAGAATATTAAGAAAGAAAAAGTGCTAAGGATGAGAGTAGCTTACAAAAATAACCAAGGCATGGTCTTTAAGAGAAGCACTCAATGAAGATGGGGGATTCCAGCAATATTGTGTGTTAAAAGGTGACAGAGATGTGCAGTAAGTGCTACAGGAAAACGGTACAGAAGTACTTAACCTAGTCTAGGGAAAGTCAAGGAAGGTTCCTTGGAGGAAGTGACAGCTAAATTAAGTGTTGAGGGACAAGAAATTAGGCAAAAAATGAGAAAGAATATTCTAGGCAGAGGGAACAACATGTGGAAAGATACAGAAGCATAAGATGTGCAAACTATTTGGTATTAGCTGGTATTGAGTGTGAATGGGGTGGGAGGGGTGGAAATGAAGCTGGAGAAGCAGGTAAGAGCAAGATATAAAAGGTTTTATTGATATTACGCATAAGCTAAGGAGCTTGGACTTAAACCCGTACATCAGTGGTTGTCAACGTATGCTTTGCATACCTCCTTGAGTCCCCAAGACCTTTTCTTGGAGTTCAACAAAGTCAGACAACTTTCATAATAATACCAAGATGTTATTTGCCTTCTTCATGGTGTTGACATTTGCAACGGTGGGTAAAACTGCTGGCACCTTAAGCAGGAACCAAGACAGTGGCACGAAACTGTATTAATAGGTGTTATATTCTTCACTGCTACACACTCGTAATTCAGACAAAACCAAACCAACAAAAAGCCCAGTTTTACATAAAAATTTCTTGATGAAGAAATAAAAATTATTTTTATTAAATCTCAGCCCTCTAGTAGATGTCTTTTTTTTTAAAAGTAGATGTCTTTTTAATATTCTGTGTGACAAAATGGAAAGTACACATAAAGCTTGCCAAAGTGCTTATCTCAAGAAAAACACTTGTTGAGTTGTCAGCTAACAAAAGCTGTGTAGCCAGCTTTTTTCATGTAATGCTATTTTTACATGAAAATATGAGTAATGTAACAGAAAAACCAAGGTTATTCAGACCTCAGTATTTAGTGGACGTCTTCTCGAAAATGAACAAAGTCAGGCTGTTACTTCATATAAACAACCGAGTATTTGTTGCTGGTGGAAAAAATAAGGCTTTCAAGTGAAAATTGGAATTTGGAAAATTTATAGCCACCACTATGAGCTTGACAGCTTTCCAATATTTAAAGATTTTCCCCATAAAATTGGTAGTGATATGAATGAATGCGGCTTTTAGCTATTGTATAATGAAATGTGTCAACATTTTAAAAATCTGTGTAATGCTGTAAACTACTACTTTCCAAATGACCAATGCCTGATGCCCTATGTGGGTACCAGATCCATTCAAAGAGCAAGATAGATTGATGGATTTAAATACAAAAGAATACAGAAAGTTTACTGATGTAGTTTCAGATCTCACATGCAACTAACCTCTCAAGAACTAGCACTTGTCAAGCTTTAATGTATTATCAAGGAATATCCACTATTATCTAAAAGACATGTTAAAATACTCCACCCTTTTCTACCTACTTATCTGAGGCTGAATTTTCTTCATATCCTTCAATCAAAGCAACATATCTCAACAGATTGAATGCAGAAGTAGATGTGAGAATCCAACTGTCTTCTGTTAAGTCAGATATTAGAGATTTATACCAAAAAAAAAATACCACTTCCTATTTTATTTTGGAAAATTTAATTATTTTTCCCAAAAAACATGTTATTATTATTAACATATAATGGATTTATTGTTATTTTAAAATGAAATAATATTCAAAGATTTTCTCAGTTAGAAAATATGGCAAATGTCAATAGATATAATACACATTAACAAAAGCTCTTTAGTGTCCTTAACAATTTTTGAGAATGTAAAAGGTCCTGAGACCAAAAAGTTTGAGAACAGCTGCTGTAAATGAAAGCTCACCAGCTGGCTGCCGGGGGGCTAAATATGTCCTATAGGTGTTTTATTTGTCCCACAAAGGCTTTTGATTTGTTTTTAATTTGAATTGCTTGCCAATGCTTAAAAATAGAAAGGAGGTAACACAGAAATCCAGATCTCTGACTTTTCTTGGAAAAAAAAAAAAATACGATCTCACAATACTGGGTGAGGATTTCCCTGTGGCACCAATCAGCTTTGTCTGCCGGGCAGTTCTGGCCAACAGACTGGCTCCCCGCATCTAGGTTATCTGCCTGGGCCCTAGTGCATTTGGGTTTACAACCCCTGCTACAGTGATAGTGAGGCTCTGAGAAGTTTTAAATAGGGAGTGGGGTAGTCAGATGTACTTTTTATATCAGAATCACAATGGACAGCGTGAAGTATGTACTGGAGGTTGTGAGGTTTGTAATAAACTAAATGTTATAAGCCCTATCTGATGTCTAAAGCCTATGTGATGGCACCTTGGTAGGAGAGAAGTTCCCTTCCCAATGGGTTCCCTTCTCCTCTAGTCTGAGAGGAGCCAAAATGGTTTCATGTGTGGCTTAGGCCTCTTCAACAACTCAGTGTGTGAGAGAGCTCTGTGGGAGTCATATTAAACCAGGAATAAATCAAATGGTTCCCATGATCGCCTTTTACATGGCATGCAAATGACGTAAGGAAGCCATTTGGTAGCCAAGTTTTCATTTTGGGGCATTAGTTAATCTGGTCTATTAGTTAATCAGTACTTTATCGATATTGAGGAAACAATTATAAAATTTACCTTCTCTTCAATCCATGATTCAATAGAAGTTTTGTTTCTGAGAATTATTTTCATCTGGAAATCAAATGATAAATAGTAAAATTTCATAATGTGACTGGTTCATTTAAGATTATCATCTTTACACTAACCCTACGAGGTAGTTTTTATTGTTCCACTCCATAGATGAAGATATCAGGATAACAGAGATTAAGTAACAGAATGTGGTCCATCTGACTCTTAACCACTATACATCTTCACATGAATGACTACATTGATCCACAGTCAAATCTGAATCTACTGTTTAAATAAAAAATCATGTTTTATGTACTATCTTCTGAATAGGTTTTTCAGAGTACTAATAAAATATTGATATAATCCATTCAATCAGTATTATATAGATGTATTATGCTATTAAAATCTTTTACCACTATTTTTAATCTTAAATGCATGATTAATCTATTTATTACAAGTAACAGTGACTCATTTCAGTCAACCTAGATATTTTGCTTGCCGTAAAAACTGAGTATTTTCAGTCTTGATTCTATTTTTTGATTTTCCTAGCTATGACAATTCCATTTATGTAGGTTTTTACACCACAGGATTTTAGTTTATTTCTAATATGATTCTTAATTATAGGGATTGGGGAAAACTTTTCAAGGAATTTGATCCCAGGCTAGTAGAAAATGTGAATAAAACCAAAACCAGGTTATTTTAAAACCAAGAGCTCAAAAAGGGTTGGGTGATGCATCAGGGCCCTCAAGCCCAGTGTTTCTAATTCTATACGTCCTGCAATTCTTTGAAGTCTCGATGTGCCTTCATGGAGACAGTGTGACACAGTAAGAACAACCCTGGACTGGGAGTCCTTATCATATTCCAAGGGCCTAGCACAATACCTGGTCCACAATGGGCCTTCAATGAATGAATAAACTAATTAAGCGAATGAAATGAGTCATAAGAACTATTTTTTGATCCGTTCAGGGCCACATCCTCCTTCTCTGTGTTCTCACTGCACTCTGTACATAAATCTATGCTATACACATGACCCTGTATTAGTTAACTCTTCACCACTCATTGTGAGTTCCCTAATGGCAGGAACCCTTCATTTTCATTCTTGTAGCCTCAGTAATTAGCAAAGTGATTCATCACAGAGTAGACATTAAATAGCACCTATATTACAGGGTTGTTATGGAGATTAAATGAGCTGACACATATAAAAAGCCTAAAACAGCACTCAATAAATGTTAGCTATGTTATTATGATTTTGATTTAATATATGCTACTATAAAATAACAACAATTATGTTTAATGAATATATGTTTACTGAATACATGAATGGATGATCTTGGCTATGTCACTTAACCTTCCTGTGACTTAATTACTCATCTGTAAGGAAGGGAAAATAATACTCCTCTTTGACCTCTTTTGGGGTTGATGTGAAGATCAAGAGACGGTGAGAAGAGCTTTCTCAAGTATAAAATGCTATATAACTCTAAGTTAGTATTTTTAAAATTAAATCAATAACCTAGAAATTCTGGCAAAGTCACTTCAAAATTATCTGACTAGTAGAAGATTAAATTAATCACCTAGATGGAATAAGTAACAATAATCTCCATTTCACACTGCATACTTAAATGGAAGCTTTATCTCTTTCTCTTTACAAGTGGCCCCAACAACTTGACAACTTTAGCTAGAGGTAACAGAGGAACTTACGATCAACAAATGACAACTTGACACTGTGGCCAAAGCAAACAGAGCTGTTTCTAATCAATACTGTGGTTTGAACTCATACTGATATGCACAATATCATTCTACAGTATTCTAAAACGTTTTTTGTTTGTTTGTTATTGTTCCCTCAGAAAGTGTTAGGTAGACCGCACAAACATTACTATGTGTGAACAACACCAATCTAAGCTGTAACTGCGCCTCCCATCCTCTCCTTGTTTTCCTCTATTTACAGTGATTTCCACAGCGACAAACATAGCCTAGGATTCAGTGGTTTCTTCCCTCGTGTTCCACAACAAAAGGTTTAAAAACTAGCAAAATGTAGGCCAAGTATGGCCTGCTGATGTGTACTGCCTGGCCTACAAAATGTTTTAAAATATTCAGTTAGGTACCAACATTGAGTGATTTAGAAATCAGATTTCACATAAAAAGTCCAGATTTTCAGATTTTTCTTGAAAAACCGGATGATCTGACATCACCAGGCTGGATTTCCAAACATCAAGAACTGGCTGAAGTCAAATATGGGCTGTTCCCTGTGTGAAGGGTCTGTGTTTTCCAGTTTACCACATCCCACCAGGCCTGTTTCCCTCGTTGACCCTCCAGTCCTCTTCAGGGGCCTCAATTTGTGACGACTGAACTTTATCTCATGACTACTTGCCCATAAGTCAACTCAATCAGTTGCACCACATCTTAGAACGTGCACCTGCTCCGTGAGCCACATTCCAGGACACTGGATTTAGAAATGAACAAAAGAACTACAACTGGCCACAGGATCGAATGGAAACAGAAAGCACTAGTATTGCCTTTTTCTCCCTCTTCTGCCTTTTCCTCTAACTATTCTTTACCACAGCTACCAAGTTTGAAGTCCAGTAAGTTATACATAGTACTAAAATAATTGTCAACTTCAACTAGAGCATATAAGGTGAGTTTCCAGAACAAAATAATCTTTCCTCATCTTAAAAACTGTTTTACTGCTTTTTTGAAAGGAATCCTTATTGAGGATTATAAAACAAAGTTCTATTTCCCCACCTAAATTGTAGAAAGCATATTTCCAAAAGGAACTTCTTAAATAATATTAATAACTACTATTTAAGCTGGCTTGATTTTATAACATTTTCTGACCCGATTATAAAGCTGTGTATACATTGTCATAACAAAAATAAAGGCAGCATGAATACAACCCAGTGGTGCTAAAAGGAGAAACAGTGTGAACGAAGCATGATTTTGATAACCACAGCAGTTGTTGATCCAAGGACAGTGATGGTCCATCTTCATCACACACCTAACAAGAAAAATTTACATAAAACATGAGGCAGAAAATCCTGTCTACTTTAAATAACTTTGGTCTTCAAAAGATCAAGCACATTGGAATCTAGCATGTCCACGCATGGTCACAGAGGAATTATACTTCATGGAACACAAAGAAAAATCTTTATGAGTTTTTAAACAGTAACTTCTTTTAAATTTTAAACAACACAAGAAAGGGCAGGCTTTGTAACAGCATCTGAGGAAAAGATGTCTGCTACAAGTGACTTTGTTTAAAGAAGTCTGGAGGCCCGCTGAGAGGTTCATTATAAAGAAATGAGCATAGTTCCTGGTTTTCCTCTAGCTCTGATATGCAGTGACTGAAGTGGAAAACAACAGAGACTGAACAAAATTACTTATAAATCTCCACTGGGGTTGATGGGGCCTAGCAGACGCTTGTAACTTCCTTCCTTCCTGCTCATATTCTTTAGATGTGGAGTCTCTAAGCTAAGCAAGCTAACTCCGGGATATAAGATGTGGTTTAATAAGCAAAGTCTTACTCTGTTTCCCTTCCTTGAGGCTGCTAGAAGAAAATTTTCTTGCCTCAAACTAAACTTTATTTGCCCCTCCAATGGTCCCCCTAAACCTCAGCATTCTCATCATAAATTTCTTATTTATCACTGGACATAGGTGTTCATTAAAAAAGGTTCTAGCTTAATTCACATTTTCCATAGTGATTCTGTTTTCTTCCAATTAAGTTTTGTATATAAAACACCTGTGATAATAGGCACCTGGATTCATTTATTAGATCTGTATAAAGTGTAAATGTTAGTCAACTAAATAATGGAAAAAGCAGGTCTCATTTATAATTTAGACTCAGAACAACTCTAAGGCTAGTCAAGATGACAGTCGAGAATTAATCCTGATTTACGAAAACAACCTAAAGGTATAACTTTTTACCCTGCTCTTGGCAAGGCAAGAAGCAAAGTAAACCTGTACTTTTCTAGAAAAATCTTTTCACTTATAACAAAAAAGAGTAATACTTATCAGAATTGACAATTTAAAAGTAAAATGAAGATTATGACACTTAATTATTTTGACATTATTTATAAAGTAGCCACCTTGCAGAAAATAAAACTAGGATTGATGTGGTAGAAAGAATAACAACGAAAGACCACTAATCAGGGGCTTCCCTGGTGGCGCAGTGGTTGAGAGTCCGCCTGCCAATGCAGGGGACACGGGTTCGTGCCCCGGTCCGGGAGGATCCCACATGCTACGGAGCGGCTGGGCCCTGAGCCATGGCCACCGAGCCTGCGCGTCCGGAGCCTGTGCCCCGCAACGGGAGAGGCCACAGTGGTGAGAGGCCCGCGTACCGCAAAAAACAAAAAAAAAACCAAAAAAACCCCCCAGTAATCAAGTTGATCAACCCCCAATAAATAGCAAAGACAGACAGTACCTGTTACACTTTCTGCAATGATGTGACCGTGGTGCCTTGTATGCTTGGCAGACTTTACAATATTGGAGGTACATGCTATCCTGAGAATTTTCCTTGGCAGCAAAATAGAAACAAAACATAAACTTCTGGGTAATTGGAAAAGTGATATTGCTGTTACCAGAAATTCACTATTTAAAAATATTTTAACTCAAATATAATGGGTGGAGGGCTTCCCTGGTGGCGCAGTGCTTGAGGGTCCGCCTGCCGATGCAGGAGACGCGGGTTCGTGCCCCGTTTCGGGAGGATCCCGCGTGCCACGGAGCGGCTGGGCCCGTGAGCCATGGCCGCTGGGCCTGCGCGTCTGGAGCCTGTGCTCCGCAAATGGGAGAGGCCACGACAGTGAGAGGCCCGCATAACGCAAGGAAAAAAAAAAAAAATATATATATATATATATATATATAATGGGTGGAAATGCAAGTTAAAATTCAAATTCCATCCTTTCCCCATCTCCCATAAAAGAAAATCAAACCACAGTATTTATTCATAAGGTGTGACTTGTTATTACCAGGCTGTCTGTTATTTCTGAATACTTTAATGGTTTAAAACAGTAGTTTCTAAAGAGTTTTTCTCAGTTATAAGGGATGTTAATATGTTACATGAAAAAAGATCCTAGAGCCAAACCACACTGTAGAATTATGAGGTGAATGATATGCAGTGTTTCCTAGAAACTTATCCACTCATCACCACCCCTCCATTTTTTTTTTTTTTAATGCAGAAGTATTTAATGAAATTGCTTTGGGAAATACTAATTTAGATCCATACTTTCAAACCAGTATAAAATAAATTCTTTGAGCTCTAAATGATCGGTGATTAGAATAATACACGTAGTCTCTACCAAAGCAAAGAGCAGGCTGTGTTTGATCTTATTGGTTGGCAGATAAGGCAAAAACTAAATATATGATTATCATGAGGGTTCACCACCTTAAGGAATCTTTTTCTTACCGGTGTCCACCCCAGAGGGACGAAGCCAGGACCAACAAACATGGCATTGAAGTAATTATAAAGAATCATGACAGTCCAATTTATCAACATGATGAAGTTCATGCTTCCTCCAGTGGTATGTAAGGGCCAATACCACAACACAGAGTCAATCATGGCCATGGTAGAACATATTGCTATAACACCAAGGGCTATAATGGGACCCCAGTGACAAAGTCTCTTTACTTCTTGTAGATTTTCAAACTTGATAACTGAGCAGAATGTACCCATTTTGGTGAGGAAGGACTCCTTCCTGTTTTTAAAGAACTACAGATTTCCTTTTTCTGTGCACACATTTCCATGTGCCACAAGTCCATGTGTGTTCCTTAATTGTCATGCCTTCACATTGTGGGATGTTAATGCAGATTATGCCATGTTCACTGTTACACACTCTCTATGTTTTCTAGGAGAATCCAGTACCTTGGTTTGAAATCCAATCTAAAGAAACAAAATGAGAAAGTTCGGTAAGATATTTTACTATGTACTGTATTTGTTAATTCCAATAATCACCTAAACAAAAGCAGCTCACAAGTACTTTACTATGGAATGAGGACCTCATCAAACGTCAAAAAGAACTATTTTCCTCTTATCCAAACTTTCCTCATGTCTGAATAGCACCTGAACTGGACACGTGATTGTAAAATGGTTGTTTTTATTCTTTTGTTCCCAACTTGTCAGAGGACTGTGTCTATGCAACCGTTTAGTGAATGGTTTGAGGAGACGAAGAATTTTAGAGCTGGGAAGGAGGGCCTTAGGGTTGGCCTAATCCAGCTTCCTTCTTTATAGAAAAGAAAATGGCTTGGAGAGGCTGAGTAAACCACGGCGGTAACAGATGAACTCAACAGAAGCCAAGTCATCAAACTCCCTCTATGGAGTTCTAAACTGCCTCTTACCCAGTCTCGAATTACATAAAGTATGATCCAGACATGGTCTACACCATTTGCCTGCGGTTGCCCCCCAAACAATAACTTAAGGGTCTATTTGTGTCAAAGTAAAGAAGCGGGAGGGTGAAAGCAAAGAGACTGCAAGGAAGGGAGGGGAGAGATAAGTGTGTGTGAACTCAGGATCGGAGGCGTATATGAGAAGTAACATGATGAGAATATTTGAGAAAAAAAAAAAAAAAAAGAAGAGGAAGTGTCTCCCGGAGCGAGGGACGGGGAAGTCAGGACGGCGAGCGCCGGGAAGATCTGTAGAAGGGTATTTCGGACTGGACTGGAGTGAGTCAAGGGAAGATCAGAGGGACAGAGTAACAAAGACTTCCATGCAACAGATGCCGCTGCCTTGTGCCTCAATTTCCCGCCCGTGTCATGGAGCAGAGCGCTTAGAAATCCTCACTCAGGGGAAGAACATCTTGGTAAGCGTGGTTGGTCTCAACATTCTGGAGACTCTGGCCTCACTCGGGTGGGGCGAAGACCGCCAAAATCATGGTTACGTCCCGTGCTTTGACTCCCACCTCGGTCTGGTCCTCAGTGCCCGCTCTGTGGCCATCGCATTTCCGGGGCGGCTCGGGCTCACCCGGAGCAGGTTTTCTCCGGCTCGGATAACTCCGTCATGGGTACCCCAGCCGAGCGCAAGTAGAAAGTAAATCCTGTGTGCTAGAGGCTGGAGTGCGAGTCCAGCCTCCACCCTTGTGTTGCTCCGCCAGCAGCCTCGCCGCAGCTCTCCCGCTCAGGCTCAGTGCGCAGACTCCGTGACAGCCACTTCCGGGAGGTTCGCCGCATCAAACTTCCCCCTGGAAACAAGCCCCTCTGACTTGTAGCTTGGGGAGCCGGAGCCGCTTTCCAAAACGTGGAGGGGCAAAAAATGCTTTCGGTGATTTCCGAGAACCCGCGTATTTTTTAAGCTTTTGGGGGCACTAACTGAAGGGCTTTGCCTTAGCAAATTTCTTAATCTTGAATCCCGAACGGAAAATAAAAAGCGCACCCAGCTCAACTTCCGGAGGACCAAGATCGCGAAGAACAACCAGGAAGCGGCCTGGCTGGGAGCTACCCCGGCTTCTCCGCTCCGCTCTCGAGGGAGCTTCCCGCGTTCCTACACCGTCCTTTCCTGACCCGCGTAGCCCCAGCCCTGACCTAGGCTCCGGCCCGGGCCGGCCACTCCGGAGCCGCCATGTCGTCCGACTTCGAAGGCTACGAGCAGGACTTCGCGGTGCTCACTGCAGAGATCACCAATAAGATTGCGAGGGTCCCCCGACTCCCACCTGGTAAGAGCCCTGCCCAGGCTGGGCGGGGGTGGCCCGGAAAGCCGGGAGGCTTGGGCAGTGGGCGATGGAAGTCACCTGAATAAATGTGTCTCTGAGGATCGAGCCTGGAGGGAGGTGGTGTTGGGGCCTCCCAGAGGGATGCTTGAGGTTGGTTGAGGGTAAGGGGAGAATCCAAGCTGGGTTGTGGGGTGCAGTGTAAAGAGCCTTTGGATTCTGAGCCATCTGGGCTCTAATCTGGACCCCGCTGCCTTGTGACTCGTATAACCTTGGGAACGTTTCTCTGAGTCTTAGTTTTGGCTGGGTTTTGTTTGTTTGTGAAATATAGAGATGTGAGAGTATACGAAGAGAATCAGTGAACGTACCCAGATCATGAGTCTGCATCATACAGTAACGTTGTTTTGTTAGTAATTATGTTATTATTATAGGCAGCAAAGCAGTGTTAAGAGCCATAGTACCCGGATTCAAATCCCTGCTCTGCCACTTAGAAGTTGTATTTAGGCAAGTTTCTTAACCTTTCTCAACTTTCCTTCTTGGTAAAATGGAGAGAATTGTGCGTCTCTCATAGGGTTTTTGTGAAGATTAAATGACTTAACATATGTAAAGCCCTTTCTTGGTGTTAGCTGTTATAATCATTAGTATCTTTCATACCTCATTCCCATTTATTATTTTTCATCCTTCCTGGGGATCCATAACCCAGTGTTGTGTAAAACTTGGTACAGGATAATTTTTCTCACTTTTAAAATTCCACAATTTTCATCCAGAAGAGTTTTGGTTTTGTGTTTTAGCACAACTCATTTTCGATACTGGGCTGTCAGTTATGTGAAGGTGGGAGCTATGTTTGATTTCCTTGGCATTTACTTAGATCGGGCTCAGGAAAATGTTTTAAGTGAATGAACAGATACATAAATATGATGTCTTGCGATTTTTGTCTGTAGGACATTGTTTTAGGATTTATTTTTCTCTCAATACAGATTTAATTTGAGTATTTACTTGCAGAAAAGATTGTGGCTTTGGTGCTCAGTTTTGTTAGTGAAATTGAACCATCTACCTTCGCTCTGTGGTGTAAAGTATAGGAAAAAGAGTGCTCATTGATCTGTGAACTGGTGGGCAACTTCCTTGCTCCACCTTGTTAGTCAGTCCTTGATGCCAGCAGTAATTTCTCCTGGACCGAAGTTGTCATTCCTCTTTC